GCTTCTCTCCACCTCCCATCTTTGCCCCACCCTGTGCATCCCTTGGGGCCAACCCTGCTCGACCTCCCCAGCTCCATTCAGTGTCTCACACTCTTCTCTTCACACACAAAAACCACTTCCGTTTGTGTCCCCACTCCCACCTGTTGCACCCCCAGGAGTCCCTCCCCTTGAGCTTTGCAGGGATTGAAGGGAATGTAATTGCTCAGAGGCTCCAGGCTGATTGGAAACAAGGAGGGAATGCAGTTCAGCCCCTGGGCCTGGGGCAGGCGTGAGCAGGTGAAGGCTGGTGACCCCAGCTGACACCTGTCCCCAGGCAGCTATTCTTGTGTGGCATTTCCAAGCTAAAAGAAAAAAAGATTGAAAGGGAGTGACACGGGGGTGTCAGTTTCTTTACTATCCCCGCCCATTTTGGCTCCCTTAAAACTTCAGTTCTGGGCCCAGGCCAGGAATAAACCTGTTAATTTATTCCAAAGTCCAGACTAAGGAAAAGCCAGCCAGAGGGAGTCGGTCGTTACGGCAACCACTCCAACAACAGCCATCACCCGCCTTAGCCCCATACTCCCCATCCGTGTTTCTTCTCACAGCCCCCACAGTCACAGACACAAGCCCCCTCATCCTCCACCCTGACTCTCCAGCTCCACACACTCATACACCCCTCATACACTCCATGCTTCTCACTTACATCCTTCCACCCTTGTGCACACCAGCCCTCGAGAAATTGTCCGTGCAAGTCTCCGCACACCCTCTCCCCACTTTGCACACCCCACCCCCCACCACACACTTCCTTTCACACACAAGTGCCCGTTTGCCTGCCCTCCACACTCTCCACTCTCTGCCAAGACACACTGGGTTCCCCTCCCACAGGGACCCCGGTTTCCTCACACTGTACACACTGCTTCACACAAAGTTCCACACAGAAGGCTCCTGTCTACGTCCACTGCCATCCAGAAACTTTCCCCTCACAGCCATTTCCCCTCACTGTCTTCCTCCTCTCTGGTCCCCAAGGGGATCCGCTACTGGGACCTCTGCATATGCATACTGTCCACTCCCCTTCTGTCCCAAGCTCACCTGTCCAGAGTCTCACACACACACACACACACACACACACACACCAAACACCCAACTCATTAGAGTTGTAGTTACTCCCCTCACACCCAACACACTCTCCCCAGTGGTCCCTCACTCTCTTCACTTACCTTCCTCATCACACATAACTGTCACCACCACACACACTCCTCTCTTGTGCCCTTCTCCTCTCAGGCACAACCTCCTTTCTATTGTTAGGTAGTTAGAATAGGGAAAAAGAGTCCAAAATGGCGGTGGCTTAAAGACCTGGAAGAGAAAGCCCTCGAAAATAGAACAAAGGAAGGTCTGAGGACCGGAGTGAGAACCTCAGGTAAAACAAACAACACTCCTGGCTGGCCCAATTTACATAAGACAGGCCCAGGGACAGAGAAACATATAAAAAGAGGAGCCAAAGCTCTCTCTCTCTCTCCCGCGCGATGGAGCGATCTTCTCTTCGCGTCTTTGGATCGACGTGCCCTCACGCCTCGAAGATAGATTTTCCTGCTATTATCTAAATAAATAGAGCTGTAACACTGAGCTGTAACACTGGTTTATTTAAGAGCTATAACATGGTCTGTCCTCCGAGAGCTGTGACCCGCCGAGGGGCTTTAATGTCCGTCACTCCAAATTTTTGTTGTGACGAGACAAAGAACCGAGGAGCATACACACGCGTGACACTATCTCACACACACACACACACACAAACACACTCATACTCTGAGAGTCCTCGCCCGAGACAGGGGGCCCTGCAGCAGTCTCAGAGCCCACACAAAGCTCGGGGTAGTTCTGGGAAGAGGCTGGCTGCCAGGACTCTGCCCCAAGGCTGATCCAGGAATTTTAGGTCTCTACCAGTCAATCCTAAACTAAATCAACGCTGAATATTCATTGGAAGGACTGACGCTGAAGCTGAAGCTCCAATAATTTGTCCACGTGATGCAAAGAACTGACTCATTGGAAAAGACCCTGATGCTGGGAAAGACTGAGGGTGGGGCAACAGAGGATGAGATGGCTGGATGGCATCACTGACTCAATGGGCATGAGTTTGAGCAAACTCCAGAAGAAAGCAGAGGACAGGGAAGGCTGGTGTGCTGCAGTTCATGGGGTCACAAAGTGCTGGACATGACTTAGTGACTCAACAACAACCTGAATCCTACCTGAAACAGTGTCTTCTCTTTTTTAATGCTCCAGCCCCCTACCTAAAGAAACTCACCAAATACACTCCTACTAGCGTGCAGCCCTGTGATTGCATGAACAGTCATATTCATGTATTAATCAACCTAAAATTAATTTTTCTATATTGTGTCAAATAGAAATTCCTTTCTATTTACATCATTAACCAGTTACCCCTTTCCTATGTACTGATCAGTACACCCTTCACTGGTATTTCTTGCCACACCTACTAGATGTCAAGTGTCTAGACATCCCTGGGTCTATTTCTTTGCTCTTTTCTAAAACTGGTCTCCTGTCTGCATTATGACTCACCAACTACCTTTGGTGTTGGAAATAAAGCTCAAGCCGATGCAGACTGGGTTGGAAGTCCTTTCATAAAAAATTACCATACCCGACAGCTTAAAACAATCAAAATTTATTCTTTGGCAGCTGTGGAAAATAGAAGTCTGATATAATTTGTGTCCTTGATATACAGGAGTTTTAATAAAAACTTGTGATTCTCATCAGAAAAGAAAAATTTACAGCATCTTCATAATTGAATTAACTGATTTTATTCCGGAAGGAGAAAACTTCCAGTTTGTCTAGATATAGTGAAAACTGTGATATTAATTTATTGTTGAAATGTGACACCCCTACAGTTTAGTGCACAAATCTCAATAAATGGTCAGTCACTCAGTTCAGTCACTCAGTATGTCCAACTCTGTGACCCCATGGACCGCAGCACTCCAGGCCTCCCTGTCCATCACCNACTCTCCTCTTTCACTTTCATCAAGAGGCTCTTCAGTTCTTCTTCACTTTCTTCTGTAAGGGTGGTGTCATCTGCATATCTGAGGTTATTGATATTTCTCCCAGCAATCTTGGGTGAGCCGTGGATGCTTGGCACTGGAGCAGCTGTGAATAGGTACTCCACGTCCAAGGTCAGAAGCATTGGCTGCACTTTGCTGGACCGGCCGTGTGGAGGTACCCCACGTCCAAGGTCAGAGAAACCCCAGTAAGATGGTAGGCACTGGAGCAGCTGTGAGAAGATAGCCCTGTCCATCACCAACTCCCAGACCATCTCATCCTCTGTCCTTATTAAGGAATGTAGAAAAAAAGTTTGTCCTTTCCTCCTCCTTGAGAATTCCAGACCCCTATCTCCTCCTTGAGAGCGCCAGACCCCTTTCTCCTCCTCGGGGTCCCTGGAATTCTTTTAAACCTGCCTAGGAATTGACTCAGCTTGCAGACAGACATCTCATCCCCATGTCTTCACATGGCCCTCCATGTAACATACCAGGTCTGTTCCGTTTTCTTATAAGGATACCAATCAGACTGGATTAGGGGTAGACCCTAATGGCCTCATTTTAACCTTATTATTTCTATAAAGGCCTTGTCATTAAATATGGTCATATTCTTAGGTCCTGGGGGTTTAGGGTTTTAACACATGAATTCAGGGGAATACAATTCTGGCCATAAAAGCATGAAGTAACTGTGCATAAAAGTGAGAACACATGAAGTATATCTCATTAAACCACATATATTTATTCCTAACTCATATTCCTCTTAATGGAATTTAAAAGTGCCAACAAACACTCCAATTCCACCTAAAATGGAGGGAACTCACAGAAAAGCATCAGGTAAAGCTGATACCCTTAACTGATTAGGAGCAAATATCTTATTTAGCAAATTGTTCAAAATGACTAAGTCAATACATGGGAAGGGCCCATCAACAGCCATGGAAAGTCAGGAGTTCTCTAGCTTCTTGGTAAACACAACTCTGAGTAGAGGAGAATATACTAGACTGGCAGCCAGACTGGCAGTAAGGATCAGTTTCTTCATCCAAGGGCTCATCTAACATTCCCACCTTCTCATGGTCAATAGAAGAAACATCAGATGATGGAACGAAGAGCTGTTAGAACATTAGGTAAACTGTTGAACTGAATCACCGTACTGTCAGAAAAGAAACATTTTTTTTTTCAGCAAAGAACTGGGGAAACCCTGGGTGTGATCTCAACAAGACAACACCCCACCCCAGCCTTTTAAAGTTTAGACCCTGCCTCTCCCCTCCCTGCCACAGGAGTAGATACTTGGTTTCCCTCTGCTCACTGCACTATCTTACTGCCTACACAGCCTCTTCTACCCCAACAACAGAGTAATTTCAGACCTACCGGGAAGTGTGGGGGCCCAAGACTAAGAAAGAGCATCCTCCTAGGTACCAGTAGAGAGGGTGAGACCTGTGGCTCACTTCTCTGAAGTCCTGACTGGAAGAAACCTGCCCAGGAACCAGAGGCCAGCCTGATTCTCACCTTCTGTGGTCCCTGATTTCTTCATACATTTCTTGAATATGATGACAATTAGGCAGATGAAGATAATGAAGATGAAGATCAATGGGAGGATGCATTTATTTAATGGGATAGATGCAGGCTGGTGGTTATTCAGGGCCTTTGTGAGTGGTTCTAAAACAAACAAAAAGGCACAAGCCTTGTCACATCTAAGAGCCCACCTTCCTCAGCATCTACTGTCCGCAGATAGCACCTGTCCACCTACATAGATGCTGGCTCGATACGTGAAGCAATTGGGGCAGAAAGATGAATAGAGTTGGGCTCTGTCCTCATAACAGAGCTTCTACTTCTACTGAGGGATAGAGCAAATGATTATTTGACAATCTTGCAGGTGGACACGTTTACTGTGGGGAGTCCTTTTTAGGGAGAACACAGCTGGGGAGGTGCTTAATTCGGTCTGGGGAGGGGTGAGGGCTTCTTTAAGTGACATTTGAGCTGGTTAAAGGATCAGGACAACAGGAAGGAGAGAAGGTCTGGAAACAATATATATATATGCTCGGCTTCACGCTGACAACACAGCCTGACCTGCAGGGTGGGAGGACCTGCGCCCCCCACACACAGTGAATCTTTCTGGATGTCCACAGTCCATCCTCCCCAGCCAGTCAAGAGTGTCTGCACATCTAGGGGCCGTGATCTTCTGACCATGACCTCCCCCTCTTACCCATCAGGTCCACCTGGTCTCTAAGGCTGGATCGTGTTCAGTCTTTTCACAGGAAGGGCCTCCCTGCATGCACTCCACCCTACCCCTCTCTCACTGTCTCCATCTCCCCACCCCCCTCCCATATTACCTCCTGTCTCCTTTTTGTCCAGTTTGATCACAGGCAGGACCATCCTGAGCTCTCTTCCTGCTTCTCCCAGCGTCTGGCTCAATTCAGTCCACGCTTTGGTGTCGTTTACCTCCTCCCCCAGGAAACCCAAAGGTCTGACCTTGCTGCTGTCACTGTCACACTGGAGGAAAGGCTTTGTGTCCATGGAGCCCTGGACTTGACACCAGGGCTGGCCTGGTCTGGACTGAGATTTGACAGCGAGGTTGAGGCACCGAGAGTGGGCATCTGTGAGAGAAACCACAGGTGCGTCTGGGAGATTCCCCTCCAGGGCCTGGTTGCAGAGGGAGGGGTCTCTCTCCCAGACCCCCTCCTCTGCTGCGTCCTCAGTCCTGCCTCATCTTCTACTGTCTGAGCTTTAATCTCTTGGATGCCACTGTGGATCCTTTGGGTCCAATACTGTTAGCAGGAAGATTTATCTGACATATTTTTACCATCATGTACCAACTTCTGAGGCAGCAAAAACAGAAGACAATGTCTGCCTTCTAGTGGCTTAAAAATCCATCTGAACAAACAGGACTTTCAACAAGAGTGGGAAAAAAAGACCACAGAACACAGGCTACATTCAGGAGGGGCCCCTAATCATCAGGAAACTTTTTACTGCAGTGGGAGGTGGAGTTGGCATGAGAGGGCAAGCTGCTCCAGGAGCACAGGCCCAGGCACCCTGTCTTCGGCTGGAGTCCCTGCACACTGGGTGTCACCTCCTGGGCAGCCCGTCCAGCTAAACCACACCTGACCATCCTAAGAGCTGGAAGACAGGCCCCCACCAGGGTGGAGCCCCTTCCTTTCCCCTCCTCCCCTGCTCCACTCCCCCTGCCAGAGCCCCAGATCCCAGGACACTCACTGCCCAGAGCCTTCCTGGGTTCTATCAGCTGCAGTATCAGCAAAGGATGGCCTGCGGTGTGAGCTAGAGACATTCCTCCCAGCAGTTTTAGAAGAGTAAGGGGCAAATCGTAGCCTGGAGTGTGTCTACACCTCCGCCTCCGCCCACCGCCCAAAGTCTTCTGTCCGAGACTGAGAAAGCCCTGTTGAAAAACAATGCAAAGAACAATTATACCGAGGAAGTATCCTGAAAATATTCAAATGTAATTCCTCATTAAAAACAGCAACAACAACCACAAAGAAAACAGTGGTGACATTAAAAAGCAAAATTCACTTTAAATACCCCACCCTCACAGACCCCGTAACTTTTGTGAACAAAATGCTCAGGGCCATGTTGGCTTCTCCTCTCCTTCCGACAACGGCTCCCCCCACCCCACCTCTGTCTCCCACCTGCCTCTTTTGCTTCTTTTTCCATCTTCTGCTCAGTCATCCTGCATTTTTCTCCCTACTTTCTTCTCCATCCTAACCTGGCGGACTTTGTCTTCAGTGATCAAGATTTACTCTCACCCAATGCACCCCAGTGTTAATCCGACTGGCCACAGGCGACCGCACGTGGTCTACAATGGAAGGCGTGTGTATAAGAGTCGTGTTGGAGCCAAGACTTCAGAGAGGCCTGACAGTAACTAAAATAGCTTCTGAAGGAGTCTTTTGGGCCTAGAAAAGAAACCAACAGTCTCAAAGGCCCTTGCTGAATCATCTAACTTTGGAGAAAACAAAACAGAACTTTAGTTCCCCCCTCATGCTCCAGGCTGGTTGCATCTATCTGGGACTTATCACCCCCTGCCCAGAAATCTTCCACCCCCTACACCTGCCCAGAAGACTTATCACCCCCTGCCCAACTACAAATGCAATCTCAACTAAAGAATACTCAAAATATCTGGCCTGATTAACGTTTCCCTTATCGCTTCCACAAACCTCCCTATAAATATGGAGTCTCCCTGATCCCTCTTGGCGCTCAGCCTGGTCTTTGGCCGACTGTCACCCCTCCTTGCCTGAATAAAGGTAACCTACTTCTGTTGAGGTTGTCTTTCCTTTTCTGTTTTGGCCCGAACTATAGCTTACAGCTTCTTGGCATGCTGCCAACTTGACAGCTAGGCCACAGGTTACTTTAAGAGTGTTCTTTTCATTCTCTGCTTCCACAATAAATGTAGCAGAATCATCAATTCTATTTAATCCCATAGGTGGAAAAAAAGGTGAAATGGCCCGAGTTCTCTCCTTGAAGAAAAAGAAAGCTGAAGAATTTATGTTTTTTGCAATAGCAAGATACTGACTTAAGTATTAGTATTCAGAAATAAAATTACTAAAAGAGACACTCACATAATATTTTCTTCTGTTGAAAATACTCTGAAGTTGTTTCTCTGAACACAGAAAGAATCCCTGAGTCCTGTAATAGAAGACGATATTTTTCTCGCATTATCATCACTTGCAACAACGAGATTGCCATACGGAGGAGAGTCTGATTCTTCACAAACTAGAAGAAGACAGACAGTGTCCTATGTGTGGAGGTCTCTTGTTCAAGTAGCTGAACATTTCATTGCAGGGATTCCATCACTTAGCACCAAGAGAAAGAGGCAGAATAGATTGGTGGAAAAAAAGGAGACTGAGGAGTCTGTTCCGCAACATAACAGGACACATGAGACAACGCAGTTACTGCGTCATCATAACGGGAAGGGAGGCTCAGAACTCCTGGCTCTGACTTCTTGGCTATAAAGTAAACGGAAGGGGAACAAAGGCGGCCAAAAAGGCTTAGTCAAAGCCAGAGAGTCCCTGTAAGGCGCATTCTGGAAACACCGCCTCCTGCAGAAAAGAAAGAGGCCTTGGTCCAGGAGACTGAGGAAATCCTGTCACATTCCTGCAGCTGCCCCTCCCCAGTCCCCCCTCCAGCCCCGACCTCACTGAGGGGCTCCTCTGTCCTTCACTCCCACCCCCATCCCAGGCGCGGCGGCTTCTTGTCACCTCCTCCTTCTGTTAGGGGAAGCACATTGATTGAAACTGCCCACCCTGGCCAGGCACCATAGTAACCATTTGCATGAGCTGTTTTTTGACAGGAGATCCTGATAAGGAATACAGAACTAATAAGCTACCACCAACCAGAAGAGTTCGGGAAAGGTCAAAGGAGATACCGTGTGTCCGTCCACTTCCCAGAAGCCCTCTCGCTAGCATCCATCTTGGCTGAGTGACACGTGCGCCACCAGGAAAGACTCTGAATTAGAATGATTGGCCAAAGACCACCTGGAGACTAATCCCATCACCATAAAACCCAAGACTGTGAGCCACGCAGCAGAGCAGTTCTCCTGGGTTCCCTCACCCTCCTGCTCTCCACCCGGGTGCCCTTCCCAATAAAATCTCTTGCTTTGTCAGCACATGTGTCTCCTCAGACAATCCTTTTCTGAGTGTTAGACAAGAGCCCAGTTTCTGGCCCTGGAAGGGGTTCCCCTTTATACAACACTTCCTTCCTGCATCACAGATTAATCCCAGGCCCTGGCACCTCCTGGGCTGCACTGTAGGGGGGACTGTGGTCGGTGATGCTGCAAGGAGAGTAAGAGTGATGCCCTTGTCCAGACCCCAAACTGGGCAGATGCCTCCTCGCCCCCCTGACTCAGGTACCCCTACTGTGCAGACAGTTTACACCCATCACATGGAGGCCCCAGTGATAGATCCCCAGGCGAGATGGGGGAATGGAGGAGCCCCGTCCTCAAGGGCTCTGACAGCTGATGGGGGAGCGAGGTTTCCAACACAGCCCCTCAGTCCTGCTGGGACATAGAGACAGTGACATGAGGATGGAGTCCTCAGAAGCTGACAGCAGAGGTGGTGTTGACAGATTTCCAGAAGGAGGATTGGTGATATTGAGAAGAAGACTCTGGAAAGAGTGTACAGTGAGAAATAAATCCCAGAAATCAAAGAGATGTCTACAGGTTTGGCATCAGGAAAAATCCATGTTCAATTGTCCAAAGGCCTGTAATATGAGGAAGAGACATCAGGAGGTGGAAGAGGAAGGAGGATGACAGAGCATCCCCGGGTCAGTGTTCTCCCAGGACACCTCACTTTTTTTCTTTTTTTACATTCTCTTATTAGCACCAAAAACATTGTGAATTGGGGTGTAGCCATCAACAACATTATAATAGTTTCAGGTGAACCGCAAAGGGATTCAGCCATAGATATACATGTACCCCTTCTCCCCATCCAGGCTGGCACATAACATTGAGTAGAGTTCCATATGCTATACAGTGGGAGATTGTGGTTATCCATTTACATATAGCAGTGTGTACATGACCTTCCTAAAGTCCCTAACTATCCCTTCCCCCGGGGAACCATAAGCTTATTTTCTAAGTCTGTGAGTCTCTTTCTCTTTTGTAAGTTCCTTTGTACTATTTCTTTTTAGTTTCCACATATAAGGCATGTCATATTTCTCCTTCTCTTTCTGACTTAGACCACTCAGTAAGACACTCTCTAAGTCCATCCATGTTTCAGCAACAACTCACTTTAGATGGATCACTTTGCCAAAACAAACACACACACACACACAGACACACACACACACACACA